ATGGGAGTGACTCAGCCAGGTCATTTCCCTTTTAAGTTTCGTCTCATAGCGATTCAGTTCTACCGGCAGTGCACTGTCTTTTAATCTGCAGCCAGCAGAAGACAATGGCCAGAAGTCATACTGCACCGTCTTCTGCCGAGCACCCAGGTGAAGATGATGGCTAGCGGTCGTACTGCACAGTCTGCTGCCAGCAAGACGTATAAAGATAGATGAAGTGGATCAAAACAAGAAATAGACCAGATTTGTTTTGTATTCATTTTCTCCTCCTTCCCTCCATGAAATCAGCGGCCTGCTAAACCCAGTTTTGAGTTCTATCCTTGAGGGGGCCATTCTATTTCTTGCAAAGCGACCCCCTTTGTTGATTTTAATTTCCTGTAAGCCAACCCTATAAGCCATGTTGTCAGTCGCCCCTCCGTCCACCAGAGCAACGGCAAACAATCGTTTCGCGCCCTTTTCTGTGGATTGCCCGAGCAGGAGCAGATGCCATAGCACAGCAAGCATGGAGCCCGTTCAGCTCACCCCAGCAGTTATGACCATTGTAAACACCTTGCGCATTATCGTGCAGTGTATGCAGAACCAGCACCTGAAAAACCAGGCAGGGAGGCGACGGCAGCGTGATGATGAGGACATGAACACACTTTTCTCTAAAACCGCGTTCCCCCGCAATTTGGAGATCATGGTGTTAATGGGGCAGGCTCATGCCGTGGAATGCCAATTTTGGGCCTGGGAAGCAAGCACAGAGTGGTGGGACCGCATAGTGTTGCAGGTCTGGGATGATTCCCGGTGGCTCCGAAACTTTCGCATGCATAAGGGCACTTTCATGGAACTTTGTGACTTGCTTTCCCCTGCCCTGAAGCGCAAGAATACCAAGATGAGAGCAGCCCTCACAGTTCACAAGCAAGTGGCAATAGCCCTGTGGAAGCTTGCAACGCCAGGCAGCTACCGGTCAGTCAGGAATCAATTTGGAATGGGCAGATCTACTGTGGGGGTTGCTGTGATGCAAGTAGCCAGCGCAATCACTGAGCTGCTGCTATCAAAATTAGTGACCCTAGGAAATGTGCAGGTCATAGTGGATGGCTTTGCTGCAGTGGGATTCCCTAACTGTGGTGGGGCTATAGACGGAACCCATATCCTATCTTGGGACCGGACCACCTGGGCAGCCAGTACATAAACTGCAAGGGGTATTTTTCAATGGTGCTGCAAGCACTGGTGGATCACAAGGGACGTTTCACCAACATCAATGTGGGATGGCCGGGAAAGGTTCGTGATGCTCACGTCTTCAGGATCTCTTGTCTGTTTAAACAGCTGCAGGAAGGGATTTACTTCCCAGACCAAAAAATAACCATTGGGGATGTTGAAATGCCAATAGTTATCTTTGGGGATCCAGTCTACCCCTTAATGCCATGGCTCATGAAGCCGTACACAGGCACCCTGGACAGTGGTCAGGAGCTGTTCAACTATAGGCTGAGCACGTGCAGAATGGTGGTAGAATGTGCATTTGGACATTTAAAGGGTCGCTGGCACAGTTTACTGACTCGCTCAGATCTCAGCGAAACCAATATTCCCATTGTTATTGCTGTTTGTTGTGTGCTCCACAATCTCTGTGAAAGTAAGGGGGAGACGTTTATGGCAGGGTGGGAGGTTGATGCAAATCACCTGGCTGCTGAATATGCGCAGCCAGACACCAGGGCGGTTAGAAGAGCACAGCAGGAAGCGGTGCGCATCAGAGAAGCTTTGAAAACCAGTTTCATGACTGGCCAGGGTACTGTGTGACACTTATGTTTGTTTCTCCTTGATGAAAACCCACCCCCTTGGTTGACTCTAATTCCCTGTAAGCCAACCGCTCTCCGCCTTCGATCACAGCTTGCTTGCAAAGGAAATAAAGTTACTATCATTTTAAAAATATGTATTCTTTATTAATTGATTATAAAAATAGGAAGATAACTCACAAGGCAGCTCAGGTGGGGTGTGGGAGGAGGGTAGGAGGGAAGGAAAAGGCCACTTTAAAACTTGTTGAATGCCAGCCTTCTGTTGTTTGGGCTGTCCACTGGGGTGGAATGGTTGGGTGCCCAGAGTCTCCCACCCCGCGTTCTTGGGTGTCTGGGTGGGGAGGCTATGGAACTTGGGGAGGAGGGAAGGCAGTTAAGCAGGGGCTGCAGCGGCAGTCTGTGATCCTGCTGCCGTTCATGAACCTCCACCAGACGCTGGAGCATGTCCGTTTGATCCCGCAGTATCCCCAGCGTTTCCTCATGCCTCCTCTGATCTTCCTGATGCCACCTCTCCTCATGTTCATTGGCCACCGTCCTGTGTTCTGCTATTGTGTCCCTCCACACAGCTCTGTCAGTGCCGGATGACTGCATGAGGACAGAGAACATGTCATCGCGCGTGCGGTTTTTTTGCCGCCTTATCTGAGAGAGCCTCTGGGATGGAGGAGGGAGGCTTGAAACATTTGCAGCTGTTGGAGGAAAAAAAGGGAGTGAAGTATTTAAAAAGATACATTTTACAGAACAATGGCTGTATTCTTTCACGGTGAACAACACTATTCACATGAGATTTTGGTACAAGGTCGCATTTTGCATCTTATATTGAGTGCCTGCGGCTTTGGTGTTAGAGATCACAAATGCAGTGCCGGGCAACAGAATTCAGCTTGCAGGCAGCCATGGTAAGCCATAGTCTTTCGGCTTCTGCAAACTTCATAACAGCAGCCCTCTCCTCTCCCATACTAAGCAAAGCCCGTTGAGTTGGCCATTTACTGCTGCAGTTTTCCTGTTAACGTGCAGCAGCAGAAACCAAACTAATCCCCTCCCACCATCCAATTCTCTGGGATGATCGCTTTTCCCCTCCCCCCACCGCGTGGCTGGTATCAGGGAAGATCCCTGCTAGCCAAACGCAAACAGTTCAGCGCCAATGGCCCCCCCTCCCACTGTGTGGCTAACTGCGGGGAGGATTTCTTTTCAGCCACAGGCGAAGAGCCCAGTAGGAACAAGCACCTCTGAATGTCCCCTTAATCAAATTCCCCTATTTCAACCAGGTTACCATGAACGATATCACTCTCCTGAGGATAACACAGAGAGATAAAGAACGGATGTTGCTTGAATGCCAGCAAACACCGGGACCATATGCTGCCAGGCTTTGTCATGCAATGATACCAGATTACTTGCTACTAGCGTGGCGTGGTAAAGTGTCCTACCATGGAGGACAGAATAAGGCTGCTCTACCCAGAAACCTTCTGCAAAGGCTTTTAGAGTACCTCCTGGAGAGCTTCATGGAGATGTCCCTAGAAGATTTCCGCTCCATCCCCAGACACGTTAACAGACTTTTCCAGTAGCAGTACTGGCCACGAATGCATCCCAAGTCCTCAGGGCTACTTAATCATTAAAAAATGCTTGCTTTTATAACATGTATTATATTTAAAAAGGTACACTCACCAAAGGTCCCTTCTCCGGCTTCGTTGGGTTGGGAGGGTATTTCACTCAGGGTGATAAAAAGATCCTGGCTGTCGGGGAAAACTGTGTGCTGTGTGCTCTCCCCAAACTCGTCCTCCTCCTCATCTTCCCCATCAGCAAAATCCTCAGCCATGGTGGTGAGTATCTCATCCTCGGAGTCCACGGACAGGGGTGGGGTAGTGGTGGCGGCCCCCCCTAGAATTGCATGCAGCTCAGCATAGAAGCGGCATGTCTGGGGCTCTGTCCCGGAGGGTCCGTTTGATTCTTTGGTTTTCTGGAACGCTTGTCTGAGCTCCTTAAGTTTCACGCGGCACTGTGTTGCGTCCCTGCTGTAGCCTCTGTCCCTCATGGCCTCTGAGATTTTTTGAAATGTTTTGGCATTTCGTCTTTTGGAACGTAGTTCTGATAGCACGGATTCCTCTCCCCATACAGCGATCAGATCCAGTACCTCCCGTTCAGTCCATGCTGGAGCTCTTTTTTGATTCTGGGACTGCATGGTCACCTGTGCTGATGAGCTCGCCTGGCCAAACAGGAAATGAGATTCAAAAGTTCCCGGGGCTTTTCCCGTACACCTGGCCAGTGCATCCGAGTTCAGAGTGTTGCCCAGAGCGGTCACAATGGTGCACTGTGGGATAGCTCCCAGAGGCGAATATCTTCGAATTGCGTCCACACTAACCCTAATTCGAAATGGCTATGTCGATTTCAGCGCTAATCCCCTCGTTGGGGAGGAGTACAGAAATCAGTTTTAAGAGCCCTTTATGTCGAAAAAATGGCTTCGTTGTATGGACGGGTGCAGGGTTAATTCGGATTTAATGCTACTAAATCCGACATAAACTCGTAGTGTAGACCAGGCCTAATAAAACTTGAATTTCTTGCTAGTGTTATAAAAGATTCCTTTTCTGTGTAACCAATTTACAGAATGCAAGATGATCTGTGGGCACAGATACAACAATGTTCCGCTTATATTTTCACTTATATGTCCAACACATATAGTGCTACAGTCTTTCCTTCCATTATGTAGGAAATATGAATGATAGATATGTATACACATCTGCAAGAAAACAACTTCTTGTATGTGCCACTCAGCAATTGATTTTACATTTGTATTTCACTTTTGTATCTGAAGTATGCTGAACTTTACTCACTATAAGCCAGATTCATTCTTGGTGTAACTCCAAAGACTGAAGTAACACTGGGGTGAGATTTTGCCCTATAGATAAAGGTATATAACAGTTTTTTAAATGATGAACTATAAAAAATTAGGCATAGAGTGCCTGTTTAGTGTTCAGGAGACTGATTTATGTTTCAGAGTTTTGGCATGTTTTTCCATTTCACATTAATGTGTTTATTAGTTCTTGCAGGAAATCAATTCAGTACCAAAAGCTCATTAGTCTGAATATACATTTCTTAATTAATGTGTAGTTCTCGTAACTCTAGTGAAACTTTTCAAACTTTGAACGTGTCTGGGCAGTAGAATAATAGATTTGTTGTTTTTTTTTTTTAATTTGAAAACATAAGGTGAAAAATTAACACTTTCTCTGTCTCTTTCCCTAGGTGGCTCCTCTACCTGACTGCAGGCTTGTTTGCCATCAACTGGTGTCTGGCACCCATAGAGCAATGCAGTCAGCAGCAGTTGCAGGGAATCTGCTGCCAGATGCCCCTTAGTACAGAAATGGGATCCAGACTCTGGTGTGACTGGTGAGCTATTGAAGGGAGGATGATCGTTGAGAATGGTTCAGGCCAGGTAGTTGCTGGCAGAGCACCCCTACAGAAGAACCTCAGAGTTAGGTTTGTTCATCGTAACTGTGAAATGTATGTAACTTTGAACAAAACGTGATGGTTATTCTTTCAAAAGTTTTCAACTGAACATTGACTTAATACAGCTTTGAAACTTTACTATGCAGAAGAAAAATGCCGCTTTTAACCACCTTAATTTAAATGAAGCAAGCACCGAAACAAGCACAGAAACAGTTTCCTTACCTTGTCAAATCTTTTTTTTAATTTTTCCCTCATTGTTTTTAGTAGTTTACGTTTAACATAGTACAGTGCAACGTTTCCTCTTTTTTTTGGTCTCTGTTGCTGCCTGATGGTGTACTTGCGGTTCCAAATGATGTCTGTGATTGACTGGTCAGTTTGTAACTCTGGTGATTGTAACTTCGAGGTTCTACTCTATCTTATGGTGGAGGTGGAGAGGACAAAGGATTGGAGGGAAGGCTCCTAAAAAAGCATTCTGATTAAGAGGAAAAGTTGCTGAGCAGAGAAGTTTCTGAGTGGAAAGCAGAAGCTCAGCAGGTCCTAGGTAGGGAAATAAAACAGCAGGGCTGGAAGTGCACAAGGCAGCCGATGAAGCAGTTGTTAGAAGGCTGGGAAGGAAAGGAACAGAACTAGTGTTTTTCCAGTAAATTGTTTCAAGCTCGGCTCCCTCCTTCTCCTTCCTTCTGCCCCTTTGGATACAAGGAGCCTCCCACAGAACCTCCCAGTTGAGTAGTTTTTGCCGAAGTCTGGATCCTCTTCCTGAAGGAGAAGGTGGTAGGCAGCAAATCCCCTCCATCTGTTGCTTATCACCCTATTCAGAACTACCAGATCCCACTTCCCAACACACAATACCAGTTCCTTGGATGTCATAGGATTGCAACCAAGAAGTGGAGCCACCTAAGGGAGAGAAAAAAGGTAAAAATAAAATACTTCAACTTTTTTTTTTTTTTTTTTTTTACTTTCAGGAATTAACTAAAAAACCTACAACTATTGTTCTACTGTCCAGGAGACTCCCCAGAGTTTGAAGAATTTCATTAGGAATTAAAGCCACACTTGACGATAGTACAAAGGACCTTACTTAAGAGCACTATAAAGAGAACAATATGCAGTTCTGCTCTATTCCACTATACATCTATATTAAATTGCTATTTTTCTGATTTGTGATCAAGGTGTATAGCTCAAAAAAAGCATGAAAAACCCACTTTTTTCTATTGATTAATAATACTTATACAAGTATGATAGATGTGCAATATTATGATTAATACAGCTCAGCCAAATTTTGTAGCCATTCCACACACAACTCCTATGGGTTTTGCCCGCATATAACCATTTGCAATAAGAAGCCCATTTATTTCTATATTTTGTTTCCTCTCTTTCATGTTCTCTAGTCTTTAGATTTAAAACTGCTTTTCTATGAAACAAGACTGGAGGTTGTATTTGTTCAAACTTCAACTAAGCTACTGAGTGTCATATTTTAGAAGTAATTAGAAACCGTTTGTATTAGATGTGAACCTGTCATCTGACTTTCCTTTTTTCAAACTTTGTGGAATTCAGTGAAAGTTGCTGTGCTGAGACTCTTCTGTCCACAGAATAGGTACAAGACAAACGATGACAGCACAAGTTTCTACATACTGCTCCACAAATGTGCCCCAACCTTCATTTAGCAGCACCAACTATGAGAGGGTTGTGGCAAGTCTCTGTGACAAACCCATTCTTGGCCTCTGTGCTAAAACCACCAAGATTGTCAGTTAATGCCAGTGATGTTTTGCAGTGGGTACTAGACTGAGATTACCAACACTTTTTCAAAGACATAACCAAACAGCCAGCAAATGGAAAACCTTTTGGCTACCAAAAACCTGAGCTGGATTCAGACTTGCATCCTAGAGGCGAATGTCTGATTTTCTATTATTGACCTCTTTTGACATTCCATTGCCCTCTGCTCTAGGATTTACTTCTGACAGTCACAAATGAAAATGGTTAGTTAGGACTAATTCCAAAGAAGTAGAAGATACTTGAGGGAGCCTTTTATCTGCCTGAGATTTGTTCAGGTTTTGTTAGTAAACATTTGTCAGCTGTGACATCCACATAACAGGTACATCCCAGGTGGAAGTTCCTTGCTCTGTCTAAAAGGCAGAGATTCTTCCTCTGTAGAAGAGTTCTAACTTCCCCTCTCCACACAGATAAGGATTGAATAGTTAGTTTTATTTTGATTTTTAAAAAATCCTCTCAATAATTTAAAATGACCGTTAACCTGTCAAATAGTCACAGTTTCAACTTTTCACTAGTATAATCATGTCTGTATTGTAGTGGGCTATTACAGCTGTCTGAAAAAGTATTGTTTGATACTGTAAGCATGGACAGTAAGCAATAGCTTGAAATTTGTGCCATTTAAATCCTTTCAGATTTGGCACATCATTTTTTATTTAATTCAATCTGCTTACTGTAGAATAAAAAGAGTTTTGAACCATTGCAACAAGAAACCTTTATGTGTGAAACAATATTCATTTATATAGTGGCAAGTATATCATTTTGACATTTATTTTCAATATTAATTGTACTTATTGATTGTTTTGTACAAATTGTAAATTTATTCAAAATATCATAGTAGATGACAATATTTTGGTAGGTTTCAGAGGAGCAGCCGTGTTAGTCTGTATTCACAAAAAGAAAAGGAGTACTTGTGGCACCTTACAGACTAACAAATTTATTTGAGCGTAAGCTTTTGTGAGCTACAGCTCACTTCGTCGGTAGTGATGCACAACTATAGAAAATGGTCACAGTTGCATTAAAAGCATATTTCTGTTAAATATTTTAAGAGAAATTATAAAATCTGTAATTAATAAACTAAAATACCCTTTGCAGATGTTTTGACAAGGGTAAATGGAATGGCAAATCGTTTTTGTAGCATTGCTGTCAGTGTCACTATTGTTGAAGCAGAGAAGGGTATTGCATATAAATTCCTATCTTGTGCAACTATTGGCAAGAAAGAAATAGGAAGCTGCATTCTGGGTGATGTATGCCCCTATAGGAAAAGTCTTTTGCGCTGGAATCCTGCTTACAGATCATATTCCACATACACCTACACATTAAAGACAAAGTTTAGTCAACTTTCTTAAGTCTGTGCACAGCTTCACTAGAATGTTGATGTTGTCTGTTGAAAATTCCACTCAACTTAATGTATATAGTGCTAACAGAACATTGGGAGAGCTGTAGTTTATAAAGTAACAAAAACTCACTGTGCATGCACAAAATACTGATTTTTTTAACCCCTTTTCACTCTCTGAAGTTGAAACTGATGTTCATGTACCACTGAAAGGCACATATGCTACTTGGAGATTGTAGAAACTTCAAATCTCAGAGGGACAATCTCCTCCTGAGACACTGTAGTGATTTTATATATATATATACATACATATACACACACACACACACACAAGAAATAAATGATCCTACAGTTTTTCCAACTTGAAAATGGCTGAACTATTTTTGGTCACACTTTTTAAAAAATGACTTCAGACCGAGTACAAATATGCCAAATTTCAGCCCCCAAAGTAAAAGTCTGAAAAAGTTTAAGCATCTGGAAATGGAAAAAATTGAATTAATATAGAAATCTAATAGCATTAGAATGAAAATACTTCTGAAATCTTGAGCTTATAGGCTTAACATTGTAGGCTTCATTACACATTCCACCAAAAAGGTACGGTACTGTATGTGCGTTCACTTTCAGATACGGCTGTGATAGTGCAGTCTAATAGACACATTTGGCACCCTTTTCTTTCTTTTTTTCCCCTGCATCCCAGGTCTTCAAACACATTCCCACCACAATGGAATATTTTCCTCAGTAGTGTCTTGTCTCCTACTGATTCCTTTCTTTCAGTTAATAGCAACCAAAAGATGCTGGAACCTGCATCCTATTGGTACTTCTATGTCATTCCATAGGAGACCTAAGATGAAGAATAACCGTATCAGTGTTTCTCCTTATAAACCGTTTCTTATTATTTTATTTTAATATTAAAGCTCCAACAAGCTACAAGCTCCAACGAAGATTGTGGCCTTCCTATGTTAGGCACTGTGCATGCACATAGTAAGAGAAATTGGGCTGCTTCAAAGCACTTACAATTGAAATGAGCAAGACAGACAAAGAATAGGAGAAAGAACGCAGTATATATCCCCAGTTTACAAAGGGGGAACCTAATCCACAGAGATTTAAATGCAAGGAGTCCAGTAGAAAAAGGCAAACTCCCCCAATACTGTATTTTGAAAAGCTCCTTTTGGAAAACAGAAGCTAAGACAGAGTTTTTGCAAGACATTTTGGTTGTCTGTTTGGAGGCTCAAGCCTGACTATTCCTGTCTGTTTTTTCTTTTTTCTGTTTCTTAGGCACTTTTTGAGGAAGAAAAACACTACTTAAATGAGGTGTTTTGGTGCTTCATAATACCCCTTACTATGCTTCTGTCAGTCTGACCAATCTTACCCAAGATTACACAGATTACAAAATAAACACGTTCAGAAAGAGATATTGTTCAAATTACTTTATATTTTAACAGCTTTGTGGGCTCTCCTGCTTGCATTCCCTGGTAGGTATCAAGATTTGACTTTCTTTCTTTTTTTTTTTTTTTAAAGTCTTGCTCCATCTTGTTACGAATGGTGACCAATCAGATAGTTAGCCAATTCAAACTTGGAGAGGCCAGTACTTCAGAGGGGTGAGTACTTTGCTGCAGCTTTAAATTTAATATGAAAATCTATATTTTATCTTGATATTTGTTTGTTTGTTTTTGTCTCATCAGCCATAGTTTCTTGTGCTTTCTTCATGATCTCAGTTATTGTATGAAATTCAGGAATGTTACAACTTACTAGAGACTTCCTATTCTTTCTCACTTGAGGCTAGTAGATTCCTAACCTTTATTCAACTATAAACAATGCAGCTCAATTGGCTCTCTCTACACTACAGAACTTGCTGTGTTCTGAAACATGGTGTTTAAAAAAATACATGTGGGGTTCCAGTTTGGAAGAGACAGAAAATTAATTTTCAAGGCTTGGTAATGTATTTGTTTTTATTGTTTTTTGTTATTTAACATTCATATTATAGTAGTGCCTAGATGCTGCAGTCAGGGTCATGGCCCTATTGTTCTAGGTGCTCTACAAACACCAAAAAATGCACAGTCCCTACCCTGAAGAGCTGTGTTAGCTGTATATTAAATAATTGTTCAAAATCAGAGGTGATGGGTAATATGGTGTAAATGGAGACTCAGACTCTCTTATTAGACTAGATTTAAAGCCATTACCCATGTGTAAAGAAATCTCAGTTGGTATAACTTACACAAACAGGAGTCAAAAGAAGGTGTAAGTTTAAATAGAAGAGGGTGCCTATTTTGACTTATGTTTTCTTAAATGCTCCGATCAGTTGCTTCTTTCTGTACTCCTTTATTTTGACTATTGGGTGTGTAAATTACAAACTCTCTTGCATTCAGTTAGATTCACTGGACGAAGTTCAGAGAATATATGTATGGGAATGTGTGGGTGTATATTGCATGGTGGTAATTTGTTCTAAAACTACCTCAAGACAAGAGGGAGTCTCAGGCCTGATCTACACTTCAGAGTTACAACACTACAGCTGTGATGGTTAGAGGTGCAATTTGATTTTTTTTTAAAACCAAGTTAACTATTCTAGCATAAGCCCTCGTGTGGGTGCAGTTGTTTTTACATCACGGGTATTTTTATGCATCCACATTAGGAGAGTTTTGCTGGTTTAACTATACTGATATGGATAAACCAGAAAAACTTTGTAATGTAGAGAAGGCTTTAGCTATGTAAAGTACATATTGATGGGGAGGATGGAAGATTTAACGTACATCAATTTTGACTCATTCTAGACCAGGGATCTCAAACTCAGATCACCGCGAGGGCAATATGAGGACTAGTACATTGGCCTGAGGGCTGCATCACTGACACCTTTTTCATATAAAGGTACAAAAGCCTGCACCCGCCCCGCCCCCCCCCCCGGTCCAGCCCTGCCCCCACACTAGCCCTTCCATGAGGCCCAGCACCTGCCCCTTCTCTTCCCACCCCTTCCCCGCCCCCATTCCAACCCCTTCCCCAAAGTCCCCACCCCAACTCCACTCCCTCCATGCTCCTATTCCAACCGCTTCCCCAAGTCCCCTCCCCTGCCCCGCCTCTTCTCTGCCTCCTCCCCTGAGTGTGCGGCTCCCCGCTCCTCCCTCCTGGAAAGCTCGGCTGGCCACAGCAAATAACTCGGTGGGCCACAGCAAATAACTCTGCGGGCCGCCTAGTGGTCGCGTGTTTGAGACCCCTGTTCCAGACTTAGACTCACCTCTAAATTTGGCCCACCATGTTTAAAATCCATTTCTGTAGTGTAGATGGGGCCAGTCAGATCTTGTGTCGTCAGAAGGAATGCAAGTCTTCCATAAGTAACAGCAGAGAAAACAAATTATTATATTAATGCCCAGTAATTTAGGGGAGAAAACAGGGGACTGTTTTTCAGAGATGTTCCCAATGACTTCAGTTGGTGTACTGAAAATCAGACCCTGTTTCTCTCATGTCCATTGGTAACTAACTAAATCTAAAATGAGTAATCAGAAAAAGGATACAGAAATTTGATCTTGTTTGTATATGAGAAGGTTCTTTCTGCGGTATAAAATTAACAAATAGAAACAAAATATACATATTTTAATTCAAGGGTCACTGGCACATAATTTGGGCCCAATATTTAGGTTTTGTAAGATGAAAGTCTTTAAGAAAGCCTAAAATTGACATAAATATTTTCATGACTTTAAAAAAATTTCAGTGAAAGCTGTTTTTTTGTTGAGTTTCTTTGCCCAGAAGTGATTACAGAGTTACCCAGGAAGTTGTACAAATGATATTCTTCATGTGAATGAACTAGCCATCCTGAAGCAAAGGCATAAATGGTATAAATTGGCTAAGCTCCACTGGTTCGAAAACAGTAAAGCTACTGAGTCAAAAAACATAGAACATAAGAACAGCCATACTGGCTCAGACCAAAGGTCCATCTAACCCAGTATCCTGTCCTCCGACAAAGGCCAGGTGCTTCAGAGGGAATGAACAGAACAGGTAATCCTCAAGTGAGCCACACTGATTTGCACCAGCTGAGGACATTATTGTTAGGTAATCACTTCCATTTTATCTCTTAACCTATTTTAACAGTGTACCTTCTTAAAATGTACAAAAAAGAGGTTTTGATCCTTGTTAGCTTTAATATCCCATATTTGCTTTATGAATAACCCTTTATTACTAACACTAAAGGAGACAGATTTTCATTTGTGTTTGCATCATGATTATTTTAAAATAGCTAGGTAGTCAATAGGTATTTCAATAGATTAAACTATCTATGCATATTAGGAATAAAGTCTCAAATTTGCAGTTTAGAAGATACCCAACTATACCTGTTCAAATGTTTTCTGTATCTGCGATAAATACGTTGATTCCCTTGCCTGTAAGTTTCATTTACATATGAGTCCATATTTAACATGTCATCATCTATATTGTTCCTCTTGTATGTTTAATTGCTTTACAGCAAGTTTTTGTTTGCTTACTATCACTGTTTGCATTATTCATTTTCATGTATTGTTTTATTGTAGGAGCATGAATTACTTCCAGTAGCAGCTAGGGGGCTCTATCAGTCCACCTTTTGAGATAATAAACAATAGAATGGTATAGATAGACTATCTGTCTAAAACATACTTTTTAGCCTATATATTAATGTACTGTATATACTAGCTAAAACTAGTGCAGCTAAAATCGTATGGTTTTTAAGATACATGCCCTTATAAGTGGCTAGGATTTTTTCATGTTTTAATTTCTCTGTCAAAGTAAATAGATACCAGTTTTATGTTTTCTTCTGATTTTTACTACTCCATATTTCTGAATTCTGGTGCAGTGTTTCAGTATCGTTATCCCATATCCTGTTGAAATTCAAAACCAGCTGATGCATATTAATGGGGTCTATTCTGTCATGTATAAGATCACTGAAGAACACAGCAACTTTTGTAGTTAACTGGCCAGATAATATTTAAAGCACAGCATTTCTGGTGATTGTAGCTGGCAACTGTGAGCTTGGAAAAACTATTGGGTGAACAAGCTCACTTAAAAAAATTGTTCTGTGAATTAATAAACAGTGAAGGCTCAATTAAATCCTATGGAGGAAAAAAGCACTGAAATGGAGGATCTAGAAGCTTCATCGTCTCTTCCCATACACTCTGAAGGGTTGGGGGGTGGGGAGGAAGGGTATGGCACTTAATGGTAATACTTTGAATCAGTCTTCCTGTCTTTGTGCTCCGTTTGTTCTCTGACACTTGTTGAAAACACTAAACCCACTTAAATGACAGGTTCAGTAAAAACTCCATCTTGTTTCCAGGCCACAAAAGCCCTTTCAAGGCTTCATAAACTCCTCAAAATTGATTTTTTGGGGGGATAGTGCAGGTTTTTGTTGTTTGAAGGATGGACAGCATTGTTACTTAATCTGGCCTTTACAAAGGCTAAATGTCTTGGGCCAACTCTTTATGACTTATTCAAGCAACTACTTGTATTGCCTTCATGGAATGAAGGTAAATTCAGGACAAGTAAAGCAAACTAAACTCCCTCCCCTTAATGATTTCTGTATCTTCTTTCTTCTTCTTTGTCTCTTTCATACTGTTGGAAGAAAAGTGCCCGTAAAAATAGTGTTTTCTGGATCCTTTCCCACTAGTCTTTTGTTCTCCCTCACTCTGTATCACTCATTAATTCAGCCTCAGATTCATGCCACCTGTTCTTTCCCAAAAGAATTACATTTAAAAGTTCATGACATTGTTCTTTTCCCCAACATACTTCCGCTCAGCAGCTCTATCAGATCCACACTTAATAAAATTTATATTTCTCATGGCTCAATGGCTTTGACTTCAGTATTTTCATTCAAGTTCACTCCATGAAATGAGTCTGTGGCAGGGATGACAAACATGTGGCCTGCAGGCTGGATGCAGCCCAGTCAATGTATTAATTCAGCCCTTACGTCAATTTACCATTCCATTGTCATCGTGGACTGCTGCCAGCAATAGCAATTGACACAGTGCTCCAGCACTATAGCTTTTGCACATGGAAGCTGGCTGCAAAGCAAAGCTGACTAACATTTTAGTCAGTTTAATTTTGCAGATGACTCCTTTTTAAGTGTTTTGGTGTAGAGTGACCATTCACTTACGTATGGACAGGGATGCAGAAGGAAAGCCATTAAGATTCTGCATGGAACAAGTACAGAATGTGCCTTTATGTTTGTAACACTGACCCGTGGATTCCATTTGAAAATGTCCTTTGGCCCTCAGCACAGAATGAGTTTGATATCTCTCGCCTACTGAGTGCATCCAGTTTCATGCAATAAGGTGAGTCTAACCTGAAAACTAGAAAGCTAGTAAATTTTGAAGGATCTCTTTGCCTAGACTCACTTTGAAAAAAAGTTTTCTGAAGCTTCCCTTCTACAGTTGACTTAGTATGTCAAACAGTCCCCTTATCATCACTATGTTTTATCTTGGTAATAGTTGTTGTTCTTTCTTTATAGAAAAAGAAAAGAAAAATATCCTTTGAATGAAATTAGAAAATGTCTATGAAATGTAGGTGCCTGGATTAATTTTTTTTAATTGACATAGATTTAAAAGTTAGCAAACTGAATGAAAAGCTTCACTTTGTTATAAACACTTGATA